AGCTACTTTGGCAGGTTATTCAGCAGTGTAAATATTTTAAAAAGAACTTGTTTTGGTGTTCAAGAACTTTACTGTGGAAGCAGCTTTCAGTGCTTTAAGTCACTGTTACAGGAAATTTAGGTAGGAGCTGAATATGAATATTCAACGAGGCGCCGAGAAGGAGTTTCAAATAATTAGAATGTAGCAGGGTTGACGAAGTGTGCACGCTTTGGTCACATCGTCACACTGTTTATTAAGTTAAGCAGGTAGCAACCGGAAGACCAGGAAACAACTGTGTTGCTGCGCATTTTGTTTTCAGATAGGTCTACAAGGCCTATATTATATGCATCTTTGAGAAAACAATACAGATCCTATGGAGGCTTTACGTCTAATGTTATCGTTACTTTTAAGTCGACGTTTCGGTTTATCTACGCGTAACAGCATGTAATGTAGTTAGCATTCATATAAAAATGGCAGTAGAAATATTTGTAAGATAGAAAAGGATTGGAAGAGTTACGGTTAGATGAAAGTCAACTGACGTTTCAGAAGAACATGCGACTCCATTTTTAAAGCAGACTTCTGATTGCTGAATGCTTCATGCTGGTTTTCTCAGCTTGGATTACTCTTCGATTCTTAAGATAGAGGCGACATGTTCATCCGAAACGTCAACTGACTTTCGCAGGACTACACCGCGTTGTGTCCCGCAAGACAGAACTCAGTAACTCAGTAACCTCAAATCATAAGGTAAACGGTAAAGCTATCCCTGAACAGGCCGTGAAGGCCCATAGGGTTGTGAGACGTTGAGGGTCCCACATTTTCTAGACAATCAGCTCACAGATGGCGGTAACGTTAACCTAAAATCTTACAAAGGTAATTGTATATAAGATTTTTAACCTCCGTCCAGTTTGAATGATAAGAGCTATGATTTTCATTTTTCATCCTTTACACGTTTCGGCCAAGAAGACCATCTTCAGAAGGATATTATCAACACATATGGAGACTAACTACTTTTACCATGTCACAGATATAAATATTATACCTTTTAACTAATACTAAGATGTACGTTGATTTGTTAAAACATCTAAAAATTATTACAATGATTTTGTTTGCAAATTAGTGTAGAATACTTGTTAAAATCTAGAACCAATTTGGTTCGTGTAGTTACAATTCTTCTCCTTACTGGAAAATGAATATATTCCACAGCCCGGTATGGCTACAGATCCAGAGGTTCCGGGTTAGATTCCCGGCGCTGCCAGGTTTTCTGAGAAGTAGTGGGTCTGGAACGGGGTCCACTCAGTCTCGTGAGGATAACTGAGGAGCTGTTTCAATGAAAAAGCGGTTCCGGTCTAGATAACCGAGATTAACGGCCGTAGGAATCCATTGGGCTGACCACCCGACACCATCTATCAGAAAAAGTTGGCACTAACTTCGCCAACAAGCGGCGGTCGCTCGGTCGGTATAGTTCGTTTGCGGACTACAGGCCACGGAGTTCTTTTGTTTGTTGGTATCATTGTCTGATGTTCAAAGCTCTTAGTATAGTGGTATAACAAACATAGCATAACCTGAACAAGAACAAGTAAGTACGAAAGAAATCGAAAAAACAAACTCACATATAATACTCTGTTAATTTTTGCTACTATCGCGTCATTTAAGACCTGATAATTCAGGCGCCCTTTTGCAAAGGTCATAAATTTAACATTTTGATGCATTTAAGGGCACTGGAGAACCCTGGAAGGAGATCAAACAATTTAACTTCAGTGGAGAGTTGAAAAATCGTACACTGAATTATCTAAGGCTTTTGAAGGATTTGAAAATCATGTAGAAAATGCTTTGTTTCAGGAAATAAAATTGATGATTTTTCTTTTGGGTGGAAGGTTGGGGGTTATTGGGGAATGTAGTCCCAATTATAAACGCAGCGACTATAGGAAATAGCTATTGCATTTAGACATTTTTTACGACCCCTCTCAAAGAACGTAACTATTCCTATTAGTGGAGGCTTCCTATAACATACGTGTATTTACACCTCTTCAAATCAACAACCTCAGGGAGAGCTACTTTAAAATATGACTGTATATTGATCATGTGCTTAACTTGAAATGTGAAATATATTCTTACTTACTTACTTACTTATGGAGCTGAGCCCTTCTTGAGGAGAAGCCAAATCTGCAGCTACTCAAGAATTTCCCAAAACTTCATGGAAACCCGAAGGTTCATTACCGTGTTCACAAGAGCCAGATCAATCTAATCCATACCATCCCATTCTATCTCTTTAAGATCAATTCTAATATTGTCCACCTACCTACGCCTTGGTCTTCCCAGCGGTTTCTTCCCTTCTGGCTTTCCTACCAATATCCTATACGCATTCCTCGTCTCCCCCATTCGTGCTACATGCCCTGCCCACCTCATCCTCCTTGACATGATAATTCTAATTATACTTGGAGAAGAGTACAAGTTGTGAAGCTCCTCATTATGCAGTTTTCTCCAACCTCCTATCACTTCATCCCTCTTCAGTCCAAATATTCTCCTCAATACCCTCTTCTTAAATATCCTCTGTCTATGTTCCTCCCTTAATGTCAGAGACCAAGTTTCACACCCATACAGAACCATAGGTGAAACATATACTGTGCCTAATAACCATCGAGGTTATGTTATCATCGGATAGTACGGTGGATATTTACGCCATCATAAAAAATTAACTGTACTCTGTTTTCAGCATACTAGAGGGAGCAAAATCGATATAATGGAGGTCACGTTAACACACTGGAATTTTGTTTCGTAAAGTTGGTATTCAAGGTATGACACATCATCAGAGATGCTTTACACAAATGGTATCTGCTTTTCACGCAATATCCCTCCATAGCCGATGCCATTTCAATGTGTCCCTGTTATACAGCAGCAATATCTTTATTCGTACTTACTTACGTATGTCTTTTCTGTGGCACGTGGTAGCGTATTTGGCTGAGGAGCTACATTACAAGTGGGAACGTCGGGGTTTCGATTCCCGATCAGGTTATTCCCCCACTCACTCATGGAGCTGAGCCCATCTTGAGAAGCTGCCAATTGTGCAGCTACTAAAAAACTTCCCAGCATTTTATGGAACCCTAAAGTTCATTACTATGTCCACAAGAGCCCTCCACTGGTCCCTATCCTGAATGAGATCTGTCTAATCCATACCATCCCATCCCATCTCTCGAAGATCCAATTTAATATTGTCCACCCATCTATGCCTTGGTCTTCCCATTGGTCTCCTTCCTTCCGTCTCTCCCACGAATATCCTATACGCATTCCTCCTCTCCCCCAAATTCGTGCTACATGCCCTGCCCACCTCATCCTCCTTGACTTGATCATTCTAATTATACTTGGAGAAGAGTACAAGTTATGAAACTCCTCATTATGCGGTTTTCCGATCAGGTCATTGGGTTTCTCAATTGACCTAATCCTTCCAGCCGCACTCTGGTCCTCATGTCAATTCAGCCTCTAACAGAAATCTTTCTGGCGGTAAAGGGCTGCTGGCGCGTAAGGCTCACAACCTTACCGCCATCTGTGAGCCGATTGTCTAGAAAATACAGGAGACTCGACGTCACACAACTCTATGGGCCTCCACGGCCTGTTATAGCAATAGATTTTTTATGGTTTCCGAGCTAATGAGATATTTTATTTTACACCGTTCGTTGGCAATGTGCGTCGAATGAAGCAGATTTAAATGTGACGTTTCGAGAGTAAATCATATTCATTGATTTGTTGTCGTAATGGCAAACGATGAGAGGGTTTGAAATCGGGCTTTGGGCCCCTTATAAAGTAAACCGATATGCTGATCCCAAGACCTATAAATCGTGGTGTTTATTGCAGGATCCGGTTCGGCTCAAAATGTCAGAAATTTGATCTCATTTCACATTATAATGGAACAGTTTCTGAATAGTGGAAAGAACGTTTATGTTTTTAAGATACAAAAATGAGATTTCATCTTCTGTTTATTTTTTATTCCAAATATCAATCTTCTCGAATAACCAAAGAAATTAATGACTCTCATATCCCATTATTCACTCCCTCATGCACTTTCACTTTTACTCTGTGACAGGTTATTAAACCCTGAAGGAGCACCATGCAAGAGTGTCCCATGTTACATTATACAGAGTCTTAACTTGTGTTTCATTGCAAAAAATAAAATCTGCTCATTATAGTACTGTGTTGAATTTTAGGTTCTCACAGAGGTGAGTCCAAAATCATAAGAATTAGAATATACAAAACTATAATTTTGCATGTGGTTCTGTATGGGTGTGAAACTTGGTCTCTGACATTAGGGGAGGAACATAGACTGAGGGTGTTTGAGAACAGGGTGTTGAGTAGAATATTTGGACCGAAGAGAGATGAAGTGACAGGAGGTTGGAGAAAACTGCATAATGAGGAGCTTCATAACTTGTACTCTTCCCCAAGTACTATAATTAGAATGATCAATTCAAGGAGAATAAGGTTGGCAGGGCATGTAGCACGAATGGGGGTGACGATGAATGCATATAGGATATTGGTGGGAAATACAGAAGGAAAGAGGCCACTGGTAGGTGGGTGGACAATATTAAAATGGATTTAGGATGGGATGGTTTGGATTGGATTGATCTGGCTTAGAATAGGGACCAGTGGAGGGTCCTTGTGAACACGGTAATAAACCTTCGGGTTCCATAAAATGCTGGGAAGTTCTTGAGTAGCTGCAGAATTGTCGTCTCCTCAAGTAGGGCTCAGCTCCAAGATATGCAGAGTGGTTATTTCTTTTTTGTTATGTGCTCACCTTAATCTTCGATCCTGAAAACGGAGGCTGTCCATTGCTCCGAAACGTCGGTAAAGCCTAATACTATATTATACGTCCTGACATTCGAAAAGACATTACTCTTCAGTGCTTTATTACATCAGAACTCGTCCAGGTGTCATGTTTCTTGCTGTTCTTAATGTAAGGCTCAGAACTTGGGACGCGAGGGATGAAGACTGCCCTGGATAGTTGGTTAACTTGTGAACTCTCCTGTACGCAGACCTGATCTGAGTGCCATTCAAGCCCGGATACCAGCCGCCAGACCTACCGCAGTACCTCCTCGTGCCATGGACGATTTGTGTGGCGGGGAGACGGTGAGACGTCAGGCGTCGGTAACGGACGGCGAGGCCATCAAGATTGTCATCCACGACGTTGATTCAGACTCCAACTTCAGTATGTAATTCGTTGGCTGGCAACTATACTTTTTTTTTAGTTTAGTTTAGTTTTTAGGTTTCTTTTGTGCTCCTCTTTCCATTACATGATAAAGGAAGGTTTTTTGTTTACAGCTTCGTGACGTGAAGACTTGCCAAACACACTCTTGGAATAGAGACTGCATGTGGTTTACTCTGTCATGTCACCATAAGATGACTATGAAAATAGTGAAAACTGTTTCTTTTTTTTTATCTGTGCTGGATATGACCGCCTCTGTGGTCTATTGATCAGAGTTCCTGCCTACATATCCAGAGATCCCTGGTTCTGAGAAGTAGTGGTTGTGGAACGGGGTCCACTCAGCCTCGTGAAGATAATTGAGGAGCTACTTGAATGGAAATAGTGGCTCCGGTCTAGAAAACCGAGATTAACGGCCGTGGTGATCCGTTGCGCTGACAACGTGACACCCTCTATCCGCTAAATTTGGCACTAATTTCGCCGATAAGTTGCGGTCGCTCGGTCGATATAGTTCGCTTGCGGACTACAGACCACGGAATTTATTTTGTTTTTGTTTATTTGTGCTGGTTATAACCTCATATACAATTATAACATACAAAGCTAACAAACTAAAACAAATGCATATAAAACTGATACTAAGTAAGTGTAAACAATACTTTTATGCCCTCTGACTTCAAATATTCACTATATATATATATATATATATATTAGTCAATGCCGTTTATATTACTTACACGAATTTCTGTATAAATAAGACATTTGTTCTCTTATATGGTTTATTTTTTAATATAGATGATCTTTTCGAAATAATTTTAGGCCATTGTTGTCTCTTAAATGTAATTACATATTTATTCCGATTCTGTAACCAAAACAGATATGTTTCTATTCCAAACCATTCATTCTTTACCATCCTCTGTAAAGAATAAGATAACTTTCCCTTTTATTTAAGAACCTTTAGCCCTTAAATGATTTTAACGAGCTCCATTCCATAAATTGAACATACCTGTATAACTGTTTCTCTCTATGAAATGTAGTTCAGTAGATTCTAGATACACTTTTGTTATATTCCTATACCACAACACTATTTTCAGGAGGTGGTGTTTATTATCTAAGACATGTTTCGGCACATGAGTGTCGTCTAGAGGTTCGGTTTGTGGATATAATTATTCTGTCACATACTTACCGTAAATTTGCCATGGTAACCGAGTGAACCAAATTATCTACAGTGATTTATGCAACAGGATACAACAAAATTCCAGTAGTTCAATACATATCCAACCTCCAATTGTAGACTACTACTCTTTCCTACGCCGGTCACGGTAGCCGAGCGGTCTAAGGCATGCACTGTCTTCGCTCGCACGGAAGCCGGTATCGTGGGTTAGAATCCCACTCAGGGCATAGATATTTAGTGTTTGTGTGTATGTGTCTGTGCTTTTTTCTGTGTTTGTATACAGATAGAGGGCGAAGAGTTGATCATCAGCCCAAGTAATCCTGCCGAATGTCAAAGTTCTAGTAAAGAGAAGTGAAACGAAGAGTTTCATGGAGGTAGGCTAGGGCCCAAATTGGGGGTGTAGCGCAAAAGGAAAAAATTCTTCCCTACAGCTCCTGACTTCACTTTCGTTACAGTGCTGATGTTTTCTGGAACATATCTCTTTTTGGCGACCGGCTCTGTGATCTAGTAGTCAGAGTTCCTGGCTACAGATCCAGAGGTTCGATTCCCAGAGCTACCAAATTTTCTGAGAAGCACTGGGTCTGGAACGGGGTTCACTCAGTCTCATGAGGATAATTGAGGAGCTACTTGAATGGAAAAATAGGGGCTCCGGTCTAGAAAACCGAAATTAACGGACGTGGGGATTCGTTGCGCCTACCACGAGATACCCTCTATCCGCTAAAGTTGGTACTAACTTTTCCAACAAGCGGAGGTCGCTCGGTCGGTATATAGTTCGCTTGCGGACTAGAACCACGGAGTGTTTCTTTTTGTGTGCTTATCTCTCTTTGGCATACGGTAGTTTCACGAAAGAGCAGATCTCATTCTGAACAATTCCTGCTTTGACTCCACTAGATTATTCTATCAAAATAAATACTTATCTCTTTGTTTTCCATCAGATTCACCATTTATGGAGTTCAGAAGAAAGTTACTTGACTGTTTGCTTGTGTTCATCTCTTTTATTTTTCGATATATATCGCTATTTACGTTGTATAACAAGAAGTTCTGGGAAGATCTAACATAACATAGCAGTTAATTACTGATGAATTTTGCCAGCGAATTCGTTCTTGATTTCGGACAACTTTGGGATCCATGACAAATTTTTGTTTGTTTCCAGACCATTTGTGTGTTCGGAAATCGGGCTTCCTCTTGCAGCGGAAAGTGTTTACTGAGCCGTTGCCTAGCAATGATAATGGGGATAAATATACTACTCGTACTATAGACTGAAAGGGCTCCAGTATTCCGGCTTTGAGGAAAGAGGGAGCGATGCAAAAAACACAGACAGCAATGTGAACTTTCATCGAAGTTCCTTTTTATTTTTTTTTCAAACTGAGGAAAATAGGCTATAAAGAAATATAAAGTGAAGACAATTAAGGTATAAAATTCAGAAACTTCTGGTCCCTTGTTTGCAATGCATAGCGATCAATTGTTCCCATTAGAATCATTATGTTTCTACTGTGAAATAAAAACAGCGATAGTACTGGAAGATGAAGGCGTTACGGTAACTCAAGGCTGTTTGTGCCAGGTACACGCCCGGGTTCCAAGAGGAGGGTGGTGTTACGGCGCGACCCGGCGGACAAGGCGCACAGGAGTGAGTACATCCCCCCTCACCAGTTGCTGGGTATGTTGTCTTGTTTACCCATATCACGCCGAGACACAGTGTCAGCTTATTTGGCTTTGTACAGCAGCACTTCTCAAATTATTCAGAACTCATAACAGTATCTGTGTGCAGTGATATTAAGATTAAAAGAAATGTATAGTTGTCTCAACGCTGGCAAGGGAAGAGGATAAACCAGGCACCCTGAATAAAAACCAATTCTTTCTCTGTGAATACAGACTTTTAAAACGGAAAGTCTAAAATTATCACTTTTGCCACATTGCTACGCTACATAATTCTATACGTAACTTTCATACAAAATTCTTGGGGTATGATACAGATATTTTCGAATTTTACCCAAAAGAATGATTTATGAAAAAAATTAATTGTTATAAAAACGGTAAAATTTAGTGTTGTCCCTGCTTAACTAATTAAGCACTACGCCATGAAGACGTATGGGGGAGTGGATGTATAGATCCATATTTTCCTGACTTCGGCACTAGTTGGAGGTGAGTGGTCAGGTTCACGCCTCGGCTGTTTTACTCCCGGGAAAGTGTCCCCAATACCGATTGAAAAGGAGCTTGGGCGGGCCCTACAGCCAGTCTGGACGACGTGGAGAAGAGAAAATTCTCGACCCTATCAACCCCGCGGTCGTAATCTATTAATTGTAAAATTTTTTAAGAAACATCAAGTGAAAATAGTTTGAGAACTGCTGATCAGCAATGTATTGTTTAGAATAGATAATTATGCTTAAGCAATGATGTTCGAGGGCCTTATTTGTGGAAATATTTGTATACGTCCGCACTGCCTGTTCCAGTCGATACAATTCCTAACCTGCAATATTGTCAATAATTTGACATTACACAAAATCTGTAGATGAAACAGAATTCTTCTTAACAAATGGATATGCTAATAATCCACAGTTAGGTTTAATAAAGCCTATCAGAATTATATTTCTATTCATATGAGCATGAGAGTAACATATTCAATTTATGTTGGTAAATATGCTGGTTGATGTCAGTGCAGAAAGGACTGTCTCTGTGGTCTAGTGGTCAGAGTTCCTGGCAACAGATCCAGAGGTCCCGAGTTCGATTCCCGGCGCTACCAGATTTTATGAGGAGTAGTAGGTCTGGAACGGGGTCCACTCAGCCTCGTGAGGATAATTGAGGAGTCATTTCAAGGAAATAGCGGCTCCGGTTTAGAAAACCGAGATTAACGGTCGTGGGAATTCGCTGCGCTGACTACGCGACACCTTCTTTCCGCTAAAGTTGGCAATAACTTCTCCGACAAGCGGTGATCTCTCGGTCGGTATAGCTCGCTTGTGGACTCAAGCCACGGAGTTTAATGCCTATCAGAATTATATTTCTATTCATATGAGCATCAGGGTAACCTATTCAATTTATGTTGGTAAATATGCTGGTTGCCGGTCACGGTAGCCGAGCGGTCTAAGGCATGTACTGTCTTCGCTCGCTTGGAAACGAGATCGTGGGTTCGAATCCCACTCAGGGCATGGATGTTTAGTTTGTGTGTGTGCGTTTTTCTGTGTTTGTGTACAGGTAGAGGCCTTGCGACGAGCTGATCACCCGTCCAAGGAGTCCTACCGAATGTGTAAGATCTAGAAAAACCGAAGTGAACGGAGAAGTTCATGGAGGTAGGCCTAGGTCCACTGGGGCTATAGTGCCAAGGAAAAAAAATGCTGGTTGATGTCAGTGCAGAAGTCACAGTAACTGAGCATATGTTTTGTCAGTATTACCTTACTGTAAAAGTATCATTTGCACAGAACTTGTACCACATACGAGTATTCTCCCATAAGCCTTGTAATTTGCCCCTCTACACAGTCTATTGTTCTCCTCATAGTCTGTTGTATTTTCCTTATAAATTCATTTACCTTCAACTCAAAGCATGAGCCATCAATTTCTGTTACAGTGTGAGTTCCTCGTTACTGAGTAAGTAGTTGATAAGTTGTAATGTAGTTTAATGATTTTCATGTCCATCGTATCAACTGACAGTTTCTGTATAATTATACCTTGAACTACAATTATTCCAAACGTGTACTCTTATATATCTTACAATTTGTTTAAAATTCATGACACTGTCAGGGGCGCAGTCCTGTTCCTTAACAATTTAAGTTTATTCTAAATTATATCTTAGAAACATGTATTAAAATATTTGAAACTATTTTAAAAATTAATAAATTTATGTGATCCTTAAAAATTATATTACTAAACAATTGACACGCATATTTTTCTATAAGATTTCATTTCTTCTATACTAACTTCCAATCACGTGACTGTTATTAGGTAGAATTTGGAACATGAGCATAATATGATCTCATAAAGTTAATTATATATATATATATATATGTTTCAAGTAAGATGCAGCTTGCAGACTCTATAGAAGTAAAAATATTAAAATAAATAATTTAAATATAAGGAAATACATTACTAAAACAAAAATTTAAGTGGCACTGGGGCAGGTTTTCTCCGAATACTATCGTTCCCCTACCACTTCTCATTCCACCACATGCTCCACATTCATTCATCATCATCTATCATTCGGGGCTGGTACAATAGGCCAGTAATGGCCGACGTACCAAGTGGACTCCGTCTCACCCCACCCCAAGAAACTGCAGAGAAAGTGATCAAGGGATCCACAATGTTAATGATACTTATTTTTAAGTGTATGGTGTAAACTGATTATAGGAATAATTTCCATTAAAGAGCAATATAATATTTGAGCTTTATTCCTGAAAATAATTTATGATAGAAGAACTAATAGATATACTTTTTCAGTTATTATATAGACTAGTCTTAAACACTGTTTTTGTACGGAACATCTCACTTAGACAGAATTAATAGACTTTATGTTCTTCTAGATATGATCATCGGTTATAAATTTGACTTTTAGAGCTTCTGTGCCGTCTATATGCAACGTCGTTAACTGTTATTTTTTCATGTTTCTTTATTAGGAATACGAAGAATTAATAGTGAACGACGTTGCATATAGACGGCAGAAAAGCTCAAAAATTCAGATCTGTACAGTGCAACAAGATGCTGAAATATAACATCCTTTATAATTAATCACTAAGTTTCAAGAATCTGTTTCTTTACTGCTTGAATTTGTTCACACTATTTCTGATGTCATTGCTTTATGCTCTATTAGAATTTAGGAGCAATTTTACGCGTTAATTTCTAATGGTTTTGAATCCGCGTAAATCACATACGGATGTACGATGCACTATATATATGTTGCTTGACTGGAGTGTGAGTTCAAAGAGAAGAGCACATTTTAAAATTAACTGCGGACATAAATATCAGTGGCACCAGATAAAGAAATACTGAGAACTTGTTTAGTACGCATGTAAGAATCGCAGCATGAAGCTAATATAAATTATAGTTTATATTTCTTTTTCCTTAGATATATAAAGTTGAAGAACAATGAATCCATATAGTTTTTCTACCTCACAATCTCAGGAATTCACACTTCCTTTCCAAAGCAATAAATGCATATAAATATTTAATATACATGTATCTTTGAACGATCTGAGGGTCAGTCTGTCGCTCTTAAAAATGAGAAATTATTTAAGATATGTTATAAACATTGTTGAGGATATAATTTCGTATTAAATGAATAACACTAACAAGAAAGACGGGAGTGTTCTCTAAGGAGAAGATTAATAACTTCACTTCGTAACGTCAGAATGTTAAAGATTTTATAATAAATTAGATATATAGCATGAATGAAGAATGAAGAAAATATTTTGTAAGATTTGAGGCTTTCACGGCGGTGACTATGAAGAAAGCAGTCTTCTGGGATTTGGCACCGTGTATATGTGGTGTTAACCGACGTTCCTCCGAAACTTCGGTTAACACCACATATACACGGTGCCAAATCCCAGAAGACTGCTTTCTTCATAGCAATATTTTGGTTGGAAACCTCAAGGACATATTGGATTCCAACTCCAACAAGAAACCAGAACCAAGGGAAATCATTTCTGAGAACGGAAAATATTATGGAAAGAGATTCAATCTTCAGGGTCGAAAAATAAGCTAGGAATGTAAAAAGAAAGAAAGAGCGTAAAGCTAAACTTGGCCTCCTTTTGACCTGCTTCGCTTTGCTCTACGACCCTGCAGATGGAGGCAGTATGTTTCTGCGACATACTGGTTAACTTCTACACGATTATACGGCGTCACATCCCAGAAGATGGTACCAAATATTTACGTCGTAACCGTAACTTAAATATCGTCATTATAAAATTTGATAGGACTTTCGTCGGCCCTTATCTTTAGTGATGAAATGGAATTCATTCGAAATCGATACGTCCATTGAAAGCATTCCGAGGACTAACTCCAAAATAAAATTCCCGAAGCGTGAACTATCGATGTAGCTATAAGGGTATGTTTTGTTGTAGCACAGTGGGTTGGAACGGAGAGGGGGGTATTGAGAAACATGTGATGACGCAGTTACAATTGCGCATGCCATGTTTGACGTCAGAGAAATGCAGGTTTTATTCAGATTTTAAATGGATATTCCTTGAGTACCAAACTATACGTCCTTCTTTCCTTCATTATACAAATCGATTCTTTGTTCATCTGCGTTGATGCACTTCCCATTCTTCCCCCCCCCCCCATCACACTCATGATTATTTTAACTCGTGTTATTGTTACATACAACAGTACGTTTCCAGCAAATTCAAAGAGTTTAGAATTGTAACAATGGCTTATTTGTTGTGAATTATATGGGTGTGAAGATTAGTCTGTTACCATAAAGGAAGAAATGTCTGGGGCGTTTGAGAACAGGGCGTTGAGAGGAATATTTGGACCTAAGTGAAAGTAATACAAGATTGGAGAAGGTTACATAATGAGGAGCTTCATAACTTAGATAACAGGATGATCAGATCAAGGAGAATGAGATCAGCAGCTTATATAGCATTCACTGAAAATAGATGAAGTATTTGTATGCATGCGCACAATATGTTAGCGAGATATCCTGAAGAGAAACGACCACTTCGAGATATCGAGATGGAAGGGTAAAAGATATAGATTTTATATTGTAGTATGTATAGCGTTGCTATGTAGTTACGGAGAAATGGGTGAATAAACAATCGTCGTTTCTAGGCAATGGATCGGTAAACATGTTCCCGCGGCAACGATACGCGCACAACGATAGAGTTACTGTTGGAAACGGTGTTTTCTATTCGATCCGTGTACAGTTGTTGTAAGGAAGACAACTGGAGCAACCCAGTCAGTTGAGAGTTGATCTCCGCAAGGGAGGCTGAAAAGAGATGGCGCTATAGTTGTGTTGACAGGTGATAAGAGTTCAGTTGCTCGATAGTCGCCGTACAGTAACGACGTGTGCATAGAAGCTGCAGAATCTCATTGTTGAGAGTTGTTATTAAGCAACGACCAATGAAGGCAAAGCAGGATGGAGAAGACTTAGCGTGTAGTGATTTGTAAAGCGTGGAAATCATCAATAACGCTGTAATTACTTGTGGTTCCGAGTTGTGTGTATGTGGTCAATAAACCCAAACCCCGTCTGTACCCACATGTAAATCATGGCAATATTAATGCGGTGTGAGGATATGGATTGGACTCATCTTGGTCGTGATGGGCTCAAGTCATGTGCTGTTGTGAACACGACAATGAAACTTCTATTCCAAACACGTATGGTATAATTTCACTTCAGTGAATATCAGTTCTTCAAATAAGAGCTACTTAGTGGGTTTCCTAGTTATCTGTCTGTTTGTCAGTGGGTTAAAATATCTATGGAATTCTTCTTCTTCTTCTCTCCCTTGTGAACATAAACAAGGGTTTAGGTATTTAGACCTGTTCCTTCAAGAATTTATGAAGTATGATATTTTGGTATAGAGCCAGAGAAATAGCAGTTGCTAGCTAACGGCTCCGAAACAACATTTCTTTCTAGACAACGGACGTGAAATGAACAACAGAACAACGTCCGTTGCTAAGCAGCAGATTCTTAATAAACAACTGAACAACAAACACGAACGGAACAATGGTACGAATAAAGCAACAGAGGAAAGATATTTTCTACGCGGTCCGTGACGAGATGTTATAACCAGGACGGTTTGGAGCAACCAGTCAATTGCAAGAGTGTTTAGTAGGAAGTCGGGTTGGTGTGATATGATCACCAGCCTGGGAGCTAATCAGTTTGAAAGTGAGGCTGTGAAGAGGAGACTTTATTTGTGCTGTCTGTGGCCAAGTGAACTACCCTTAAGTTAATGTATAGATACTAATTATAGATTATACAGGTGATTTCGTTGGATATCAACCTGTTCACGCCACTAGTCATTAGTATATCTAATGAGTAATCAGCACTTTAGCTTATAGAATTATGTAATATTCTGATTGCTAAAAGTTAAATAAATAAAATAAGAGTGCTGTAGTTCTAGTGGTATCTGGAGTGCTTGATCCCGTAAGTGAAGGTTACGATCTGTAAATGGTCAGTAAATCAAATATCCAATCCAGAACCCCCTCGAGAGTCACTCTAACACGTGACAATACGCAAACTTTTGGCTCCCTGCAAACATCATAACAATTATATCCCTTCGTTATAATTACTAAGCAAAGAGAAAGTTCGTGCTTTGTAATTTAAGAAATTTAATATTACTTATGTGACCGCCTCTGTGGTCTAATGGTCATAGATCCTGGCTACAAATCCAGAGGTCCCGGATTCGATTGACGGAGCTGCCAGATTTTCTGAGAAGTAGTGGGTCTAGAACGGGGTCCACTCAGCCTCGTGAGGATAACTGAGGAGCTATTTCAAAGGAATAGCGGCTCCGGTCTATAGTTCGTTTGCGGACTACAGGCCACAGAATTTGTTGTTTTGTTTGTAATATTACTTGGGTAATGAAAAAGATAGTGGAAATTATAAAGAGAATCTCATCCAAAACATCTACCACATAACGTGAATATCACTTTAACAGTCGTGGCTATTCCGCACTTTAGCGAGAATACGAAATACCTTACATAAAATCTTTTCTCTGTTAAGTCCGTGGTAAAAAACAAGATACAAAACATTTGCATATCTGTATACAGTCATATTAAATAAATGCAACTCCAGAATTGTAAAGTTCATTCACCATCTTACCTAAAATAACAGATCTTTCGCTCAAGTTGTACATGTCCGTCTTGTATTCTCGAGATGCCGCTTTCGAATCCAGCCGAGGACACCGGCTGTGCTAATTTAGGATGTTCATGATGTTCCTCCATTGCTGTAAGCAAATACAAGGACATGAACTTGAAATAGACCATAATGCTTCTCTTCGAATTCTTTCCAAATAATTATTCGCCGATATTATATTGTCATGTGTTGGGGTGTCTACAAGACGGGGTTTGGATTGGCTGATTGGATTTATTGGCTACCACTGATCTACTATGAACATTGCTCTCAGGAGCATTGTTATTTGAAGGAACAGCGAGGGTTACTATAAACGATTGAATAGAGCGTAGAAACAGAGTTAATTGTTAATATCTGGGTATGAAAATAAAAATTCAACGTTGTTGTATCTTTCTGCTGCATTTCGACACCCTTCTCTGCCTCCCTCCCTAAGTTTCCTGCACACATGGAATGAAACGAAACAATACCATCCATCCCGGATAATTTTTTCTACACATTCATACATTTCACATCCACGTCAAATCCATTCATGAGACGAGGGTCACAATGTATTTAGCCAGAGGCGTATAAATTACAATGGAGGACACTGAATATAATACTGTGTACATTGTGGAAGTTTTCAGATACAAACCCACAGAGTGTTGAAATGTTATTGTTACTTATTAATTATTATTGTATGCGTATATCCACTAAATGTTCCCATTATAGAGAACATGGTACCCTTGTGTGAAAGCCTGCTATGTTTTTTGTATGTTATGATTATACAGATTTTGAGGAGACCATAAAATGGGATAAAATTTTACGATTTGGCCTGTTTTCCATATATAAACGATGAAATTTAACTTGCTATTATCTAGCATGTCGGCGTAGCGATAAGGCTCTAGATTTATTTTAGGGAGGTTCTCGGTTCGAAACTCTGCCGGGACACTGGGTATCCTGATTAAAGTTTCTCGTGTTTCCTTAATCCATCTGGGCACATGCCAGGATATTACCTTCATTAAGTCGCAATCATTATCATTTAGTTTAATTAATTTTAATTAACGTTAACTGTCTTCAGATACTGGAATTTTCCGGAAATAATAATAAAAAATAAATTTATATTAAGTGCCCTTTTGTCTATCCATAGAGGGGGCACGAGGTAGCATATTTTGTTGAGGCACTATGCTAAAAGCCGGAAGGCAGTGAGCTCAGTTCCCGATGAGGTCGTTGGCCTCACTGTGGCCCTAGGGTCGACTCAGTCTCTAACAGAAATGAGTATCAGGAACCTGTCTGAGTGGTAAAGGGCGGCCGGTGCGTAAAGCTGACAATCTCACCGCCATCTGTGAGCCGACTGTCTAGAAAATGTGGGAACCTCGACGTCTCACAACGCTATGGATCTCCACAGCCTGTTACAGGGATAGCTTTACATTTTTCCTTTGTGACTGAGTATAATTTAAGGCAAATTTCCACTAGAGTTCGTGACTCTTCTTCACGAACTACTGACGAGATGTGTGGCTGTAAGTAAACAATTCCATTTAAATTAATGTTTAGCCACAAAAAGTGGCTTACTGCAAATTCTCGTGGAAGAGAATTCTAAATTCAAAAACGTTGAAACCTCCTTTTTCACATTGTAGAACAATTTCTAGTCTCAGCATACTGACAAAGAAGTTATGTCTGAGGAATTCGGCTCTCTGGAGAATTACAATCAGACTGAGTTACAAACTCTTAAAAGAAATATGTACCAGTTATATTCAATTATGGGTAAAATAAATTTGTGTATACTCGCGAATACTTACATTAATATTGTTCACAGTGTTTTCTTATTACATTTAAACATTTTTGACTGAGAATTGTTTTTATTTCTGATCAAGCTCTCTGTATTTGAATACGACGCATTTCATAACTTTGGGCCTATTTGTGGATGCCTTAATCACATATTGATAACCCAGCTATTTACTGAGGATGCATGCACGTTAGCGCCGCGATACAGCAGTCGGCATTGCAACCAACTACGGGCTGGAAGACCGAGGGTCTGGAGTTGAGTCCCGGTATGGTCAAGAATTTTCTGTTCTCCACGTCGTCCAGACCTGCTCTGGGGTCCATCCAACCTCCTATCCAATAGGTACCGCGAGTTTTTCCCCCGAGTGTCAAGCGGCCGGAGCGTGAAGCTGACCACTCACCTCAAGTTTGTGCCGAAGTAAAAAAATTTAGATCTATACATCGACTGTCCCATACGCCTTCATGGCACAGTGTTTAATTAAGCATAGGTATAACTTTACCTTGTTTACTGCTGATGAGATAGTATTATCCTCTGAGATATGATGCCGTGTAGTCTGGTAGAAGCTTATCAATATTTCAGACGAACTTCTGCCATTATTTTTAGGTCGATACCGAACTGGTAGGCACAAAGTTAACTTTCTAAACTCGTATCTTTGAGGCGTACAGTCGTGATCTGTGTCGCTATCCTGACTGGTTTTCGTGGTTTTTCTTAGTCCCTCGAGGAAGATTCTGGGATAGAACTTTTATCATGTCACGACCACTTCCTCCTAAATTGTGTTCAATTCATGAATCATTCTACCTTTCTACATTTTTAGTCTAAATACTGACAGTCTTAAGCTATACAAGGCAAAACGACCACATTTTAATTTGAGCTAATGTAAACATCCTGGCGATTGAAGCGACACCTCTGATAAACCTCAAGCAGATGAAGGTAGTATTGGTGTCGGCGCTGCGGGGCGGAAGAGGGAGCACTAGAGGAGTATTGCGATGCTGATATTGCGTTAGGCTCGTACTAAATTCATTCCACTCATTCCTAACTGAACCTCACGTCCGGGAGCTGCATCCTATTACGTAGAAGTAGGGGAGTGGGGTTGAAGAGAGAAACGTCACGACGCATGGCGTCATCACAAGCAACCGACGTCGGTCTCATCGCTGGAGGCGAAAGAAATTCCATTGTCTTCCAATTTCCTTGCTAGGAATCTCTCGGTTCTGTCCCTGCCATTGGAACTATCTGATGCCTGTGGCCAAGATACTCCTTCCCACTACTCCCCAACTAACCCTCGTTTCGAAGATAAGTCCCTGGAGACGCCCGGAATTTTAGGAAATTCGATTCAGACATGCATAGATCTACGTTTATTTTATAGGCATTTGTTTTGCAAGATTTATACTTCGAGGCACATCTCATCATCTTTAATATATTAGAGGACCGCCTCTCTGATCTAGTGGTCAGAGCTCCTGGCTACAAATAATGAGGTCCAGAGTTCGATTCCCGGCACTACCATGAGAAGTAGCTGGTCTGGAACGGGGTCCACTCAGTGTCGTAACGAAAATTCAGGAGCTATTTTAAGGAAATAGCGGCTCCGGTCTAGAAAACCGAGATTACCGGTCGTGGGAATCCGTTGCGCTGACCACGTGACACTCTATCCGCAAAAGTTGGCACTAACTTCGCTGACAAGCGGCGGTCGCTCGGTCGGTATAGTTCGCTTTCGGACTACAGGCCACGAGTGATCATATGCATTCGGAAGAATGAGTCCGTTCCTTTGGGCGAAGCTATAAATACGTACGCATCTACACGGTTGAATGATGCGTAAAAAGGTGAAGCAGGTCAGTCTGCTGCCTGGCTTTGCGCAGAGCGAATGATCTGGTAACGAGGAGAGGTACCCCCCACCACACTACTGTTTGTCCTCGCATTCTGCTGTCATGCGCGGCCACATGACTTCACTTGTGCGAGGTTCTACGCCTATGCCTTTCAGAAGATCTCATCAGTTCGCAGAAACTGAGAAGAGAGCTCTTGGAAGAAATAGGTATTGATAGGAGGATAATATTAAATAGATATATTAAAGAGGAGATGTGTCAATATGTGGTCTGGATTCATTTGGCCCAGAATAGGATCCATTGGTGAGTTCCTCTGAACAAGGTAATGAAATTTCAGGTTCCATAAAAGGTGGAGTTTACACCGGGCCCTCGACATGTAGAAAAAAGAATTTATCGGGCCGCGGTCTCGCAACGGTTGGGAGCTTATTCAGGGCTCTAGTACTACTGAGAATGATAATGCACAAACATACATTAGAATAATGATTTGATAATATTCATACCGAGGGTCCCATTAAGACAACGGTAGGCCCTGGGAACAGATTAAACTTTGGGCGCCCCTCTCCAGAAGACTGCTTTCTTCAAGTCCTACTTTTATTTCTAAGTGATAGTTTTATTACAAACACATTTCATGACGTGTTGCTTGCAACATACCGAACGGGGTGGTGCAGCTGTAATGCTCTAGGTTTTTATTCTGGAGGTTCTAATTTCGAATCTAGTCCTGAACACCGGATATTCTGAAAGATAAGTTTTGTACTTTAGTCAGTACCTCCATGGAATTTGCTGGAATAATATTAAGACAATTTTACAATCGCTTCCTTCCGAATCCTTTCCAATTCATTATTCATAAATCATAATATCTTTCGCTGCTGTATAGCATAAATCAATGGTCCCCAAAATTTTTGACATGCCGCCCCCTTTCTGATTCCACGATATCCTAATGCGTCCGAAATTTAATTGAAATAAACGAACCCTTTTATTGTTTCCATTATAATTTATAATTAATATCATAATTGAGTTAAAAACAAATACTAAAATTCCGTACGGTATTTACTATTTGGCCATAAGCAATGCAGACAGATACTGAAATCTAATATCTCTCATATTACAACTTCTTTATTAGAACCGGCACACCACAACTATATTAAGGTCAGTGCTAAGCTTGGCTCTGCTACATGTTTCGGCTACTAAAAGCCATCATCAAGCAAATACATGGCCAACATATATACACCACTGAACTGCAGTACTAGTAAAAATGGATACAAGAACATTAATTATATCAAAATACGTGACGTAAAAATGCAATAAATTAGATTATATAAAACGAAAGTTATAGTATAAAATAAGAATAAAATTCTTTGAGTGATGCTTTACATCATCGAGTCGTTGGTTTTTGTGATTTTGTTGTGTTCCCACGGACAAATTGGAGTATTCTATATTTTGTGCGTATATATATACGGACAGTACTTTGTAAGATGATTTAGTCGGTGCCTCATCTTACAAAGTACTGTCCGTTCTATAGGG